TCTCCAAGGGACCGCCGAAAGGAGAGATGATCAGGACAAGCCGTCGTCGCAGCTGTGCCCGCGATCCGCGATGCGGTCGCATAATTTATAGCATCGAGTCGGCCACACGGAGAAGCTTGCTCGCATAAACGAAAAACGCACACTCGCGCACGGGGGCGAGGGGGGTAGGAGGAACGATGTCGACGATACACGGTATGCCGATTGCCGATGAGACGCGAAGAAACAGAAGAAGAGAGAATGGCCAAGAGAGCGAAGACCAGGAGGAACGGGGAACGAGAGAGGGACATTAAGATACCGACACCGACGTTAGGTAGCTGGCAGCGAGGGAAGGCGCGGTCTCGTATTGGCAAGGGACAGTAAGAGAGACAAGCATTCTTCAGAAATCTTATCGGCCTTATCAAACCAGTCGGCGATGATGCGACTACGGCAGCCTCCCCCGCTGCGCTTGCAGACGCATACGTAATTCTTCTTTGCGCGCTCCTTATTTAATCCAGTATTAATACAAACCAGCCTTGAGAACATCTTTCCTTTTGCTCAGTAAATGATTTTTGCTCGATTTTCGCTCAACTTAATTGATTTGATTGAATGTACAGCACTTATGATTCAATTCGTATTTACTTTTACATTTCGAGTTTTTCATTTGAAACCTATAATAAAGGAATGAATGAATTATCTACCCTATACTGTTGACATTTAAAATATACAGACAATGGCTACTCTATTGAAATTCAATCCCTTTTACATGCTCGTTTCGCGTTTCATGGGCGATCGAGAGCCTTCTAGCTGCTCGCCCGAAAAAGGAAGTGTTCGCACCACGGTCCTCTCCAAGTCTGAACGACGATCCATAAATCAACGCGAGGAGAGAGTGCGTATCGGTGTCCAGACCCGCTTATGCCGCGGGCCTAGATTATTTATCACTTTTTGCATCGACGCAACATTATCGTTAACGCGGGATACTTGCGGCCGAGCGTTCAATATGGTCGAGAAATACGAAAGCGTTGGCAAAACCACACCTACATTTTGTGCGACGTTGTTGCATTTTGCATCGAGAGGGAAAAGAAGGGACCTAAAAACCTTGTTTGCTCTCGAGAGGGAGCGTAGCCAAACCTGGGGTTTGATTGATATACGGACTGTTAAGTGTTTGCAATAACCGACGTTTATATCCGCCTCTAATACATCCAGCCATAAATAACCGGCCACTTCCAAGCGTGCACGCGGCACGAACCGCGTGATCGACTTCGCGAATCGTTTCGAATCGAGACGTTGACCAGAAGTTCTCCTTTTCGATGGATGACGGTATTCAGGTGAGATAATTGTGATCAGTCATTTATAGCTAAAATTCCTGGTTACGACGTTGCAAATAAAAAATAGGTCGATTGCTTGCGAAAATATTTTGCGATATTTAAACCTCGTTTATTCGTCATTTATCTATTAATCGTTCTAACAGTTAACGTCGTAAGTGACAGACTGCGGGTCTAATTTGTGTGAAATCACTCGTTTTACCCCTGAAAGGCTCGATGCCGTCACGCCCTTTTGTGCCGACGAGCTACCATTGAATCTCTAGGAGGTCTCCTCGTAGAAGAGAACACCTGCGATCCTGGGGATCCAGGTGCTCGGCCACGGGCCATGAGCCACGAGTTTAAATTCTTCGAAATTTGCTAAATCTCTACCCTTAAGTGCTCTCATCGACGCCGACGCGTCGTTCTTCTCGTCGAAAGAGCATTCCAGCTTTCGCGTCGGTTCAGTACGACACAATGGCCGCGTCATTAGCCGCTAATAGACACCGTTAAATAGGATTTGGGGAGAACGAATGAATGCCATCGACGAATTCTCTCCCTCGTTATTTGTCATTCGTGATTTGTATCGTTTACCACCGTGCTCTCAAACGCTTTGAAGAATGAAAGCAAACAGTGTACCGTGAAACTGCCATTCTCCCTCAATTTTATTATAAAATGTATACAAATATTGTTAAGGGAAATATAAACTCTACAGGAATTCTGATAAAATATACAGTTTCATGTAACGTGTATTAAAAACGTAAAAGACGAGAACAATTGTTCCGAAATATCAGCTCGAAAATCATTATCGGATTTCGTTGGAGCATTTTGACGTTTTATCAATCACGAGCTGCCAAGGCCGTCGCTTTCATTAGACCGCGAGAGAGCTTTTTCTGGCTTGATGGATGAATCCTGGAAGTCTGTAACACGAGCCCGGGCGGCCTCGGGGGGTGGTTCGGGGACGCGCGTCGGGGGCTGATCGCGTTGTTTATGAGATTTTTATGGAGGTAAAACGCTGGGAACACGCGGCGCACCCTACCGCGATAAGCCGGATAATAAAATGTCAAGCTATCACCAAGCCGTTTTTCCTTCTCTGTATTCCACCCTAATACTCTCTGCCACGTCGAGGGATTTTTAATTAGTGACTCGTGAATCTCCTTTTTTTTTTCAAGATTCGTCGATGATAAATTATTCGTTTCTACGAACCTGTTGAATTCGCAAGCATTTGTATTTCAGAAGTTATATTTAATAATTAAATCTTTTGAGCCCAGATGATGGAAATGGTCAGTTCCCAAAGAAATAGAATTGTTACAGTGAACGATATCTTTTTTGTACCAAATGCTGTTTTGCCCCTTGAAACGATAATGATTCTCGGTCTTTTCCATTCTTCGTCATGGCAAATTGGACGGTGGTTCTTTTTTTAGAAAGTAGCAGGCACGGCAGGGCGCGGCGGCGGCGGCGGCGGCGCAGCGTAACGGGTGGCCGGCAGGCTTTCGAAACGCGTTTCCCACAATAAAGGGCACACGTGAGCTCTCGACGCAGGGCGTAGGGTGTAGGACGTAGCTTTTTTTACGAGGTATCCCTTACACGTCGGATCGACTCTCGTCAACGTCTCGTATCGCTTTGCACGGAGGATTAAACCGTCAAGCTGTCCGACTTGGAGTGCTCCGACTTCAAATCCGTCGCCGTCCCTCTCGTTTTGCAAACAGAATTTCGGATTAGCGTGATTAAATCGTAGTAGGAATTAAATTGTATCAGGTAGACAGTGTTCTACGATTGTACTTTGTTCGACTTAACTCGAATTTAATCGTCAGAATCGCAAATGCGAATCGGAGGTTCAGCGAAAATGTGTTTCAGTATGAACAGCGTTCTTAATTCCTTGGACGATATGAATAAATGATACGACGAGTTAAATGAACTGAACTTTTAAAGAAAGGCTCGTTGAAATTCGCGAGACAGAAGAAGTTGATAACAACCCAAGTTCGTTCGTCGGGGCAGTTCGATTCAGGCAAATCCCCGTGCCGAATTTCAAAGCCTCTCGATGCAGAGTAGAGAGGATGGAGACTCGAAAAATCTGACGTGTTCCGAATCTCGCTTAATTAATAGCCTTATAGAGAAGAGCGAGTGGAGCCGAAGAGGGGCTCGCGTTGCCTCGAAGGACCCTATTTCGCGTTTTGCCAGGCAGGACTGGGCAAAGGGGGCACGTGGCGTGCACGTGTCGGTAAGAGGATATCCGTCCGTGACTACCCTAAGCGACCGCTCCTTCGAGGGAGAAAGGAAGAGGGAATGCTCTCTCGCTAGTCGCTGGTACTCGCAATCAGGTGCCTGCTCAGCCTTCTTCTGTTAGTCCTCTCCGTTACTCTTCCTCGGCGTGCGCGAACCGTGTAATCGCGAGACAGGACAGGAGGAAGGCCGAAAATAAAAGAAGGGAGTCGTGGCACTCGAATCGCGCTGCCGCTTTGACGATCTCGCGTACGCGGAACCCGGTGATCTTTAAATCGAGTTCGATCTTATAGTATAAAGTATGATTGACTCTAAGAGAACAGGTTTTTACGTAAATCTTCATCGGTAGTACCGTTGATGCGTATTTTACATATAATTAAATGTAATACAAAATGTACGTAAAAATATATTTAAAATAAATTGTGAAAATGTTCATAAAATATAATTCGTTCGTTTCTATACGGATTAAGAGAAATTTCCAGCCTCGACACACGCCTACGATCATCGAACACGGTTTCCAACAACTGGTCAAACATTCATCGTACAAAGACCACTTTTGCGACTGACCACTTTGGAGGATCGACGAGAAATCCCTTAAATCCCAACGATGTCCATTGACAGCACGCGTTTCCCATCCGCGTCCGTTAGTAGGTACTTCTCGTGAAACGAGATGGACACGGATTTCCGTCCTGTTCACAATGACTGAAACATTTTCCAGCAGGCCAGCACACGGAAGAAGAAAGAACCTGGTTGGAACCTGGGGCCCAAATTCTCATTGTGACGCGCGCGTGTAACCGGCCTGGTTTTGGTCATTCATCGTTTTCGTTTCTCTCCGATGACTCCGGGCCCATGCAGGCCTGGACGCGCGTGCTTGCGGCCGAGACACGACTCCCGACAATGAGCACAACGAGCGTTGGGTGGATCGTTTAGGGGTGCACCCCTCCGGCGCTTTGTGAACGACCAGGCCGCCCCCGATCGGAATTGCCGCATTTTACGGTCTTGCCCTTACCTTTTCTCCCCGTTCTCTTCTTTCTGATCTCTCTATCCAGTATCCAGAATGCACCCTCTCCTGGACGTGCGTTTCCTGCGCTTTTCAATTGAACTCTGAACTCCCGTGGACTCTCGTTTTCGCTAGGATTTTTATTTGCGAATTGAAACGATGTGGGAGAATTGTTTAACTATATTTTCTATCTGTGTCACAATTTCCCCTCGGAATCCGAAAACGAGATGACAAAACTCGCGGCACAACGTCGACACAATGTCATTCGCCGTGGCGCGGCGTTTTCAGTTTTCGAATGCGCAAGAGAAAAACTTGAAGAGGGGTTTCGTTTCATAACCGCTCGCCTGGCTCTCTTTGACTCCTCAGGTTTCCCCGGAAAGAAAATGACGACGCGGCAGAAAGAGGAAGCGGAAGCGGAAGGGTTGCGCGCGTCGCGTCGCGGATTCCGGGTCAAAGGGTTGGAAAGCTTTTCTCTATTTCTACCCGCGTGCCGACGTTGCACCAACGTTATTTTCACCGGGAAATGCGCTTTTCCCAGCTACGGGCTGAAGGAAATGCTCGGCCTGTTCGTTTCGAGAGCGGCGTTTAGTCTCTCTCTTCCTTCCTCGGCTCGCGACTCGCTTTTATACCGCGCTCTGCGTTATTCGTGTTTTCTTCGCGTCTCTGTCCGCGGAAACAGAAGTCGCGAACCGTACTTTCATGGCGAGAGATCGTTGCGTCGCGCCGTGTCTCGCCTCGTTCACCCCCGATTACGTTACTCGCTCGAGCTTTCGTGCTCGCTGAATATATTTCGTCGTGAAACCGCGTCGGTCTCAAAGGCGACAACGATACGAACAGCCGTCGAGAGCGAAACTTGGTCAAGGTTCGACGTTGTTAATTTCTCCTTACATTTTCTTCCACGAACAACGTATGGAGAGTTCGTCTTTCCTGAAGTTTCTTTTGTACCAATAAAAATTGAGAAAAATAACGGTTGCCATTAGTCGTACCTTCGTTACTAAGCAGCGAATATCAATGATATTATTATTCTATTTAGGGAACCAACACTAGTGATCGGTCAATTTATTCGCAAACGTAACAAATAAACCCGGTAGGGGATTTCCCCGGACGGTGCAATAGCGCTCCAGGTCATTGTCGACCTATCAATGCACGAACATAAATTTCAACAGTTCATCCGGTTACGTTGATCCCAAAGGTATAAGCGGTTTCACGGCACGACCGAACCCCCGGAAACGCAGGTTTCTATAAGGACGTTCGTGGGTCTACGCCAAATCCCACTCGTGGGGGGTTCTCAACGGGCGGGGCCCCGTTCACTGCGGGGCGCCGGTGTTCATTGTACCGTCACTGCGTGTTTAGTATTCGCGCGTCAAGTTAACAGCATCTTTCTCTCCTCTTCTCACCTTTTTTGTCCCCCTCCAAGAACACCCCTAGCAGCTTCTATTTCTTTCCATCGGCGATCTCTTTTCCCCGGCGGTCTTCTATTCCGCGTTTCATCTTCTATAGCGGACGACCAGTTTCTCAGAGACCGAACGCGCCGTACAGTCGCCAACTGTTTCTCTATGCAGTTAAAAATGGTCCCACGTTTGCAAGTCGCGGCGTTGCTATACTCGTTACTCCTTGTTCGGTAACTCGAGGAAGTATCAAGCGATTCCTGAGAGCAGTTTCTAAGGGTGCACAGCTTCGCGTGAGTGGCTCATACGGTGGACTGAAAACAGCAACGCATTTTCGTGACGCGTTGACTTGGCAAGCTTAATGAGCTGTTTAAAGAGCACTCTTTCGACCACTCGGTTTCGAAGAAACAGGACTCGTTAGTCAGTTTCTAGTCATCTACTGTAGAAGCTTTTTCTCTTACATTATACAATATTTATATGTATGTGTATAGAAACGTACGAAATAGAAGTAGTCATTCCAAACTGAACGGTATTTCAATCTTTGCTTCGTTCTCTAATTCTTCGGTTCATTGGTTTAGCTTCTAGTAAATCGTTCGTTTTTCGCCATTGATTTGGTTTAAAAATACGATTGCAATGGTACGATAAGGCATCGAACGCAGCACGGAAAAACGAGACCAAAGTCAGGGACAACGTTTTCACGGATCCCATCGGTGGTTCGACGTTATCGGCAACGAGTAGTTATGGCAGCGGTTTCCGTCTACGTTGCAAACGAAACCGGTTCCTTTTTATGACGGAATATCGGACGGTCGTCGTTCGGTTTCAGCTGGTCGCTTGTCCCATCTCTTCCTTTTTTATTTCTTTCTCGTTCGCGTTGCCGCGTTCGCCTGTTCCTTCGTTGAAACCCGTCGTTTTTTCACGGGGCCGGTAACGGGAGGAAGGAAGCGTCGCGCTCTAGCCACGAAAAACGATGAAAATCGGTATTCTTTTGTTTTCCTAAATCCTAAAATAGGGTTCTACCTTTTTACCACCTTTATGATAAAGGAGAATCTTGTAGCAATCGATGGCGTCCTAGCAATTTAAAGATCGGCTTGTAAAATTGTGTTCATATTACTAATAGTTGCAATCATTGTTTCTGAGAATTAAAAATTATGGGTTTACTTTCTTTCTGGATAATCTTGGACAGATCTCCTCACTAAACAGAGACATTTGATTTCTGCGATTCTGCTGTCAGATTAAACGTAATGGTCAGATGTCTTTAAGAAAAAGGTGAAAGTGTCTTCAACACGGAAGTAGGCACATTATTTTTAGCGAAACTAGGTGCGTTTACTTAATTACGAGAAAAATATTTTACATCTATCAACTTGATTGAGAGAGAAACTTTTAATCTCACTATGCTTGTACCATTTACAAACATTGTCTAGCTACCTATTTCGTGATGAAGAAGAATTGATATAAATCTAAACTTTGACAGTGGGACGTGTCTCCTTCGAAACGAGTATTAACGCATTTCGTGACGAAAAAAATCGTGTGCGAACGGGGGATAAAGAGACGTCGCGTGACGTGCAAATTGGCTGTTCATGCAAATGACAGATGGTTGGATCATCGGCCGGTTACCAGTCGCAAGCGGTTAGGCTCCGAAATATTGTACATAAGCGAAAACAAGGGTAGCAGCCTGGTGCGAACAAGCTGCTTCCAGTTTTACGTAATTTTTACACGAAAACGAAGATTGCTTTAAGTCATTTGGTTGTCCCGAACGTTAATTGAGTCGTTTAAGAATACTTAGTTTTACTCGGTTGCACCTGTGCCGTTCGAAAAATTTATTGCCAGTTGCTTTTGGTTGTAGAATCTGAAATATCTATAAGGGTAGTTAGGACGTATTGTTGTTTAGCTCCTTGGAAGCACTCATTCTACGCGTAGAAGACGAATAGGTAAAGTTATTTACGCCACTGTGACGGCTCTGTCCTCTCGCACGGAGGACTCCTTAGCTCCACAGTACCATCGGCATGTTGCAAAGCGGTCTCGTTACTCTGGACAAAGATGAAGAGATCGGGACGGTCGAGGGATGAAGAGAGATGGTAGCATCGAGTTTTATACAGGGGCGTGACTTATCATTCCCCTACGAAACAGAGAAGGGGTGATTGTAGGCGGTTCTTCTGGGAACCGTGTCGGCCCCACCTTGGTCCGTAGCTGTTCTTCAGGGTTGCACCGCGACGAGGCGCTGTGTCTGGCTGGAACCAGTTGCAGCTGTGTCGGTTCCCTCACTCCGCATCGTGGCTTCGGCTCGGCTTCGCTCGCCAGAACGGGCCTGTATTTTACCGCGGTGCAGCGTGCTCGTGCGTATACCTGGCGTTATTCCCCGGCGTTCTCGTCCACGTCCTCGCCGTCGAGTTCGTCGCGTTCGCTGTTTCGGGTCGGTTCACCGGCACGGGGGCACATGCGCCTTGAAAGAACGGGTTTGACTCGCGTCCCGGTCGTCTCGTCGTCGGAGCATCAACCTCGGAAAAGAATCGATCCCCCGATGATCGAAGGACACACGCATCGGGGCAGGAACCACGACGAGGTGTACAGGTGCGCCGGGTGTTACCTTCGTCTACCCTAAATAGCTTAAAGTGGTGGTTTGTGAACGCGGTTCGACCAGACGATGGAACCAGGGTGTCCGCGAACGGGTCACCGGATTGTGTCCACGTACTCCGAAACGCTGAACCGTTGACGAGGAACCTAGTTGACTTCCCTCGTTAGTGATCGTCGTTGTGTACAAGTGAGAGGGTGTACTTTTGTCTCGTAACTTGACTATCTAGCGTCGTTACTCTCTTTCGTACTGTCTCGTGTCGTTGTCTCTTCCGGGCGGGAGCAATCGCCGGATAGGGTGGTTCGGTTCGCGATAACGCGAGATGTGCCCGTGAGGGCGCCAGACGAATATCGATCGCATCCGGGATAACGCGTTTCAACGAATCGATCGAATTCGCGGAGTTACAAGTGACGTTGTTGAGTGCGAAAAAGTTGGCAGACCGAGGAAAACCGCGAGAGGGGTGAACCGTGAGCTGAGGGTGGCGAAGGAAGAAGAAGAAAAGGAAGTGGAGGAAGAGGAGGAGGAGGAGGAGGAGGAGGAGAAGGAGGAGGAAGAAGAAGGGAACCTGCGCAGCGGACGCCATCTCCGCGTTATCGGCAAGCGAATCCCCCGGGACTCCCCCCCAAGCAGCTTCGGCATCGCGCACCCTCGGCGGGAACTACCCCGCGACAGCAGCCACCCTGATGGGAGTGTATGAGGAGCGCGCCCCTCCTACCACCGGCATGCACTGGGTGAGTGTCATCCCTGTGTCATCTACAGCTATACGCTGATCCTGTACCTCCGTTCTTTGCTCATTGCCCGCGCCACGGAACTACCATAGAGCTCCTACTGTTTCTAGTCCCTTTGTCACGTTGGCCTCGATGATCTCTGGATGACGATCCTTGTCGTCGTGACCCCTTTGATCTCCACCGCTGTCCCTGCTTCTGCTCGAGCAGGCTCGACTCTCGCACCTCGAGTAGTCTTTCTTCTTTCTGTTTTTAGAACCCCGCAGGGGTGGTCGTGCTCTTTGGCCACTCGCGAGTGAACTTGGTTGCGGTATTTTTTCATATCTCCTTGTTGTTGGTCAATATAGCTGAACGAGTTTCATCTTCACGTTTAGAACGATTCATTTATTCTGTATGATAGGAAGCACGATGCTACTTTGTATTTGCGTCAAAAATGAGAAATAATCAGGGTTCGATTTGGTTTCCAATGATTTCGGTCCTCGCCAGTCACTCCGTGCTTGTTATATTTCAATGGATAAACAAATAATTGAAAAAGAAAATACTGAAACTAGTTTCTTGATTTCATATGAACATTGTGCTTTATATTTGTAAACTCTGAGCGGCACGAGAGATAAGAAAGTCGGATTTGTAACTGTTAAAGAATACATATCATTGCCGGATAACTCTATCAGGCGATTTTATTGCCAGCGTTTCTGTAACTGGAATATTGCCGGGACGAACCCCCGACGCTTGTCGGCTGATATATTCGCCGGATTGGGAACGGGTTTCACGATCCGCGGACGAGGTTGTAGAAAAAATCTGGGAATCGGAGATAGGCCTGCGTGAGGTACACGGCGCTGGCTTGTCCCACGGGTTGACGGATCGGCCCGAAGCTCGTGAATTTTTCGGGTGTCACCGAGTGTAATGGATCGCGACACGCGAGGCCCGAGTCGCGCCCCCGGTTTGTTAATTGATTCCGAGAGGGGTTGCCGATTTTCATCGGCTAAAAGGTGAACATTTTTCTTCCCGTGTCCCGCTTCGTGCCGCTCCACTGACGTTTTAGTATATCAAATGCAACGTGCGTATTTCACTTTTTAAATTTCCGACAAGAAGTGTTTCAAACATTATCTCAGTTCTTATTAATTTCAAATGATCTAAGTTGAATTCTTCCTTTTTTGTGACGAGTTCCAATGCTTCAGTTGTGTGAACGAACAGTCGGAGAATTTGTTCAATTAATTTGTTGATTACAAAGTCTGATATTTATTGGCAAAATTAAATTGTTAAATTACTTCAGGGATTGTATAAGAAACTGATGCTGTTTATGGAATACAGAAATAATTACAGTGACGAGCGTATATAGATTCTGTGTTTCATTATACTTAAACGGTTTTGTTAATCAATGAAATCGTGTCGGATTAAACGGTGGAACGCGGGTAGGTGTATGGCTAAATAGGTATCCGTGGTTTCGACCAACGACGTTGTTCGTGTGCTCGGGCGATGTACGATCAGCGAAACCAGCGTTCATCTTCGAGGAAAGTTAATTCTGTTTTAAACGACCGCTGAATGGCCGCGCCGTTAACGGGTACACCTTGTAAACAAACGTAATTGATTGTTCCGTGTCACCGCGTTGGCCGCTAATTGAACCGATGCATTAACTCTCGTGGCTTCGCGTCGCGTCCTGGCTGCGCTCGTCGAAAGGAGCTGGTCTGGTCGCTACCACTGTTTCTATTGAAATTGCATTTCAAGTGAAAGTGATAAATTCGAACGGCTTTCAACTGTTCCAAATATGCTCAATTTTTTTTTAAATTACTTTTCAAATGGATTTCTTACAAAAAATATTACCCGTTCAAAGCATCAGCTTCTTTAACATTCTGCTTCCGGCATGAATTTTGAAATGTTTAAAAGTGTCATAAGAAATGCCACAAATAAACGCAAAGTCAGACTTCCATTCATGTAATCCGCAATCAAATGTTTCATCATTCTTTTCAAGTACCCAATCTCCATACAATTCATCGAGCTCATTCAAGAAAAGTTTGACGTAAAAACACGTCGAGAACGTCATTTACGAATGTTTAAACGTAGATACGAATTTTTGTTTATAACACAGGATATATCGGTGGTCGATTAAAGTGTCGTGTAAAGTTCGCAGGCGCCACGCGTACATAAGTGTGTTGTGCGTTGTAAATAATCTCTTTGTAGTTGAGCAGTCGCGATTATTTTATCACCGCGGAACGAGGCGGAATGGCGCGGCGCGAAGCGTTTTCGAGTGGTGTCACGGGGCAGCCATGACCAGCTCGATTTTCTCATTTCAATTACGCAACCACCGCAATCTTTTCTGTGCTCTCAAATAATTAATAGATCCGCGAGAATGAATAATTTCCATAACGTCTGGCTTAAACCGTGAATTTGAGAGATTTCTCACATTTTCATTTGTCGACGTTCTCGTTTAACGAGTGAGCCACTTTGTGAACGATGCTGGCTTTTCGATGGGCTCGAATCCGTGGCGTGTCTGAAAGAAACTCAGAACGATGCGACGTTTCCAAGTTGAAGAACGTTTTGTTCTTATCGATATTGTGATTCGTGAAGTTTAGTGCGAGGAGCGATTCAATTTATAGACGAAACCATTTATGAACCGAGTATTCTAGAGGCAAAATCTGTTCGTCTTCTTCTCATTGCAATTTTCAACTTCTTTCATTGCATGCAATGTAAATTGCAAGAATTGAATTGCAAGAATTGAAGCTTCGTTCTGATACTGATATCTTTTTATTCCAGCAGCTTCAAAATACTATTCAAACATATCATTTGTTCATTCACATTCTGTCAGATTGAATACCTCAGTTAAAAAAATGAGTTTAATCTTCTCGCTTCTCAGCCTTGAATCATATCAGCCGAATTCCTCTGTTGCTTAAGGTGGAACTCGTTTCTAATCGAGCAGCGTCGCGCCGCCGATTCGGCGTCATTTAGTCTCTCCGGATTGAAGATCCAAGCGTTTCGATCTCATATTCCGTTGCTGGCCGCATAAGCACGCGGCCGGACGCGTGCGTCAGCGCGGAGCCGGCCGAAGAGAGTGTGATTATTGTAACTTCGATGAGATAAGGGCATCGTGGCACGAACGTGTCTGCCCGTGATAGTGCTCCGTTTGTGCCGTTGCCTTGTGCCTTTGCCTTTGCCTTCTGCCTTCTGGGAGTAATTTATTAGCCCCGACCGAGCCGAGATATATCCGTCGCGTCCAACTCATTCCCGAGTATTTAAGAAAGTTTCAGATCTCTTGTTGTTTATTTATAGCGAAACTTTCGAGGCGAATTACTTCTCTTTTTACGGGAACTTGCGAGCTGGTCTCAAGGGAGGTAAACAGAAAGGCGTTGAATGCTCGTCTGATGAAAACCAATTAAAATCAGCGATTGTTCACCAAGGATATTTCGAAAACTCGTTCACTTTAGATATTCATAACTGATTTTTTGGCACAAGAAGTTCTAACATTATTCGACTCTGCTCGTTCGTCGGAGACAGTAAAATAGAAAACGTATTTCGCGAGTACAATGGCAGAGTCTTTAGCAATCTATTCCAGAGTGATTTAATTTTGTTCAATTTGCGAGAACTTGTGATGAACTAATCTTTCACAATTTTATGAAATTTCTCTTTGTTTTCACGTTTCCGTGGATCATAATTTTTTTCGAAATTACAGAAACGGTGTACCCTAAATACTTAAACGTAAAAGACGCAGTTGCACGCACGATAATAAATTTGTATCTGAATTCCCGAACTCGGGTTATACAACATTGATAAATCGTCCGAAATGGCTACTTCGAAAAGCCGGATGCTTCAGAGTCCTCGGATCTGAACGTGTCAGAAGCAAATTGGGGAAAACGTCGGTAGATGAAAACTGTGGGACATTTGTCCATCGGTTTGTTTCGCAAAATTTTCAGAAACGGTCCTCGTTACGGAACGTCGAAACGTTTACTCATGCTTTCAGCGGGTCGATCACGGCGCGGAGCGGCGGTATGGACATGATTAATTGCCCGAACGCCGTTTGCCAGCGTGGACGCGATCTGAATTTTCACCGAACGCCGAACGTTCGAGCCGGCGAGGAAGGAGGCAAGGCGAAGTTATAATCTCGGGGTCAGGTCGCGATTCTTGGCCTGCTCTCTCAGCTCTTGGCGCGGCGCGCCGCCCGCGCCGTTTCCCTGTGTCTCAGCGTCTCGTCGCCTTCTTACCATTTAAATTATCTCCTCGTCTCTGCCATATAAGCTTCTTCATCTTATTCCCATTCGTTCCGATCGAGCATGTATCAAACGAGGTCTTTTCACTAGGAAACGAAGCAAAACGCTGCGCAATCATTGAAATATTATTTTAATTTTCCTATTTTAGAACCTTCGGATCGATTTCGCTTTTTGCCTATGCACGCGTTCTTTAACTTATTGAAATGAACCAGTGGAGGAAAGTGTTATGGGTTATTACTCGCGTTCATCTGTGTAATTCAGCTTGACACCGAGCGAGGAGGAAATCGAGCGTAACTCCGTTCCGAGTCGATACGTCGCGTCGCGCGTCGCAAGAAATAGAGAACCTTACTCTGTATTACACGTAATACCGAAACGAGCTGTAAATATTGTACAGCGTATGAAAAAAGGAACACGATATCGAACAGGTAGGTGTACTCGAGGTAATAAAATATCCTGGACCGACCAGGATCGCCGATTTCCCGGAAAGAATCATCGAAATCCGTGATTTCTCAATTATCGTTACGTATTCCTCATTTTATGGCATTTATAGTAATCAAAACTCCTTTTCTTCGTCTCGATCCTTCCAACGATAATCGGACAATAATGCGCCGGATGCGACGCAAGGACAAACAACGTTTATTTTCTGAAATGCAAAATGCCGATCGCATGTGTCTACATTATTTCGTGCCGTTCTGTGTGCATATTGGATGAACAGCGTCGGCGGTGGAAATTCGTCTGGGAAATTCGAGATCGAAAATCAAACACGCGGCGAACGGTTCGGTGATTCATCGAACTTGCAAAACGCCA